CTCATCTTTTTCCTTTATACTCCTGCTGAAGCTACTTTCTGTATCTTCCCCATCACTCTGAACTGTCCCATAAACTGAAGACATCGAGGCAGTTTGAAAATGCTTAAGAAAACCCACTTAACTGAACATCACTGAATCAGTTTGAAGTTTTAAAATTCACACTTAAAATTGTACCATTTTCCACTTAGCTACCTCTATGTACATTTAAAAACCCCTACTTAATAACCCATGTCTAGTTCTTAGGTTGTTTTCATGCTTTAAATTTTTGCCCAAAATGCACAGCATATTGAGGCTTTTTTTTGTCCCTAACAATACTGTATTATATGAAAAACTACATTACTTGTAACTGCAGAAAAGAAATATTTTTATTTGTATTTGTAGAGAAGAGCTGGTGAGGGGCTCCTGATTTAGGGAATTGGATCTGTGCTCCAGTTCCCCGAATTAAGCCTGAATTGCCTTCCACATCCCCCCGTCGCTGTATAATCGTACGGGTTTAGAGCTTCCCCTTGATTATAATAATAATAATAATAATAATGTAGAGAAGAGCTCAACCCCATGGAGGTGAACTCTTCTCCAGGCTGAGGGAGTCGCCACCTCAAATTATTTCTCTGAGGTTAATAGACTGATGTAGATCTTCACCTTACCACTACCCCTACTGCCTACAATACACTATCTTCTGTATCTGATAAAGCCTACCATGGAGGTGAAACATTTCAACAATAAGGATACCAAATTGTTGTACATGCATCTTACTCATCAACTGTATAATAATATTGTTAGACTTCATTTAGACTGCTCCACAGTTCTGGTCACAGTATTACAGAGAATGTACAGAGAAGGATGACCCCATGTATTTATTTATTTATTTATTTATTTATTATTTATTTTTAATTTGTGCACACATACAGAGGTACAAAAAAATACAGATAAGAGCAGTATGCCAAAGCCACTTATACTATGCATAGCATTACGGGCTGGCTTAAAATTAACTTAAGATTAACTAAGCAATGATGAAATCAGTGATAAAACATTAATGTAAACAGATTACTATAAAGCACAAGTGAGTATTACAAAGACAGGTCATATGGTTGCATTCAGTTTGGTAGTGATTCTGTTAGGTAGTGTATTTAAAAAATAATAAAGTTAGATTCGGTTTTAGGTTTAACATTTATGTGATATAATTGTAGAAAACATTTAAGATATACAAATTTTTAAGGTTCAGTTATTCAGTATTTTTTTGGTTTTGGGTGAGCAAGTGATCTTTGAGAAGAGACTTGAAAATTTTTAATCAGGTAGTGTTTCTTTTATATTTACAGGTAATGAATTCCCGATTTTAGGGCCTTTTATGTGCATTGAGTTTTTGCATAGTGTGAGATGGACACGAGGAACATCAAAGAGTGATCTGTTTCTTGTGTTATGGTCATGTGTCCTGTTGGGGTTGGCAAGGAGATGTTTGAGGGGAGGGTTAAATTCAGAGTTAAGTGTTCTATGTATGTAATGGGTTGCAGAAATAAGTAGGGAAATTTTTTTGGTTTGAGTGGTTTAGTGTATTGAATATTGGTGGAGTGTGCTGCCTTGGGTGAGAATTTGTTATAAATTCTAACTGCAGCCTTTTGCGAGTAATTAGTGGTCTGGGGGGAGGGGTTTAAATTGTTTTTGGAGCCCCCTGCAAAAATTTCCCATAGGTGAGAAAAGGGGTAAAATAAGAAAGTGATAAAGGCCGGGGGGCGGACTGGGGAAAAACAAAAGTCCCGGGTATCTTCGATAGTTTCCTACAGTCTTAAAATTTTCCCTTAAAAAAATTTTTGTTGTATATTTGTTTTTAAAATTTTGAGTCTTTTAATCAAGGTGTTTTCCTAAAAATTTTTTCCCCTCTTTTAAGTTTTTGTGATAGGGAACCTTTTTCATTTTTAAGGGGGAACATCTGTAGCTCTGTTACCCAAAGGGAATAAAGTGGGTTTTGAAAAGTTTGTTTTAAGTTTGTTAGTCCTCATCCAGGTAGATATTTTTGTAATTTGGGAATTTACAGGGATTGGCTAGCGTTTTTGGGCTCCCGGGGGAGAGAAAAACTAAGTAGTTTGTCATCTGGGAAAAAGTGGGGGGGTTTGAGTAATTGAGAAAACCAATTTTGGGAAGGGCATTTTTGTATAGGTAAAAAGGAAAAGGGGGAAAGGGCAAATTCCCCGTGGACAAACCCAAATGTAATTTTTTTGCGCAGAAAGTTTTCCCCCCTTTGCTTTTCCCCAAATTGGGTTTTTTGTTGCCGAAAGGAATGACTTGAGGTAGTTGAGGGGGTGCCCCCTTTTACCTAGGTGACAAAAATTTTTTTGTGGGGCATTTCATGGCAACTGTAAAAAGCTTTAGTAAGTCAATGAAGATCCCCAGTGGGGCTTCTTTTTTCTCTATTGCTGTTTATTTTTGGAATTTTCTACATGTGTAAAATAGCATCATTTGTAAATTTTTTTTAGGCCCGAATCCAAAATTGGCCGGGGGTTTAGAAAAGGTTTTTGGGGGATAAGGTTTGGAGTAGTTGTTTATGAATTTAATTTTTTTAAAGTTTTTGAGAGAGGGGTTAAATTTTGGGTTTTTGGCCCATAGTTTATTCAAAATCGTTTGGTCACCCCCTTTTGTGGATCGGGGTTACCCTTGCTAATTTTTAGTACTGTAGGGAAGGTGGAGGATTCAATGGGTTTGTTAAAGATGTTGCAATGTTGGTGAAGGCCCCTTGTGACCTTTTTTTTTATATAAAGGGTGGGAAGGGATTTAAAATTTTTACCCCTTTTTTTTTTAGTGGGGGTTGAAAAATAAGGGGGGACTTTTATATGGGTTGTCGGGGCTAGGACAGAGTGTTTTTGGGGAGTTGCCCGGGGAGGTAGCAATTTTGGGGGGGTTTTCTGAGCCCTTTTGGGGTTTTAAAAGGCAAATTTTTGGGCCCATAGGTTTTAAAGGAAAATCATTGAGTCTGTTTGGTTTCTGTTGGTTTGGGGGTTTGGGGTTCATCTGATTTTGCTAATTTTTTTTTCGCTTTTTTGATATCTTTTTTGTTCCCAGAATTTCTGATAGGGTTTTCCAGGTCTTTTTTATATCTCCTCGTAAGTTGGATAATCTGTTCTCATAATACAATTTTTTTGCCCTTCTTATCAGGCTGGTTAGGATTGACGAGTAACGTTTTGTTTGGTCTCTGGTTATGTGACCATTCTGTACTGTTTTTCATATTGGTGTTTTGTATTTATGGATTTGAGAATGCTGGGTGTTAGCCAGGGACTGTTCAGTCTCTTTGCTGTCATCTGTTTAGTTTTTTTAGGGCAGTGCTTGTTATAGAGGTATTGGGTCTTTTTAGAAAATTATTAATACATTCGTCAATATCTGTATAGGTTTCTAGCTCAGTGTGCCAATCGATGTTTGCTATTGCTGTTGAGAAGTTATTAATGGCTGCCTCATTGTGAAGTCTGAAGGTGACTTTAGTAGTGTCTTGGGGTAGTTTACCAAGAGTTGTTATGAGGAAAGTAGGGTAGTGGTCTGTGGTATTATCTGTAATTATGCCTGATTTTAAAGGGGATATGGTGTTGGTCCAGATGTGGTCAAGTAGGGAAACACTAGTCTCTGTAACTCTTGTAGGTTTTGTTACTGTTGGTAGTAACATACAGTTATTCATTGTGTTTGTGAATTCAGTAACGTGTGGGTCCTGGTCTTGCAGGAGATTTATATTGAAGTCACCTGAGAGTAGTAAGTGATCTTTGTTCATGCGTGCATCTGTTATCATACTTCCTAGATTTTGACTAAATTGGCTAATGTTTGACTGTGGAACTCTGTAGATGTTTATCAATGTGAGAGGTTTTTGTAGGTACTTGGATTTGAATTTAGCTAT